AAGGTTGCAAATTTAGCAGACAATTTGTTCGAACGGTTTTGTCCTACCAATTTCTCAACCTTTCATTATTTTGGGCAAAATCATAATGAACATCTCGTCCGGCATCGGACGATACATTTAGATCTCCAGAATGTGGGTGCATATCAGCAATGGACGGAGAATGCCTTGGATTTTCAACAGGATTAGACCCCAATAGGGATATAGGTACCTCACTGATATCAGCGTATCTCCATGGCTGCAAAGCACTAAGCCAAGTTTCAAGAACGACCTCAAAAGTGAGATCTAAGGGCCAATGTTCGAAGGTATACTGTAGAAGAAATTGCAATCGGCGCATTGCAATAGTAGAAGGAGTTATCGATTGGAGAGAACATGAATTCTGCGGATAAGAGCGAGTTGATGTAGGACAAATGTTCGTTGGTCCATAGAGGCCGAAGGCATAAGATTGTGAAGAAGCAGATGAAAAATCGGAGGTAAGGGCTCCAAAAGAGACGCCGGAGGCAGCAGAGGTGATCAATTCGACAGGATTAACGAATTGTCTATTTAAACGTAATTGCAGTAGAATGTGAGAATAATATGACAAGATACATATACAATTGAAAAAAACTCGCTTATATGGATGAGGATAATTTATTAAAAACTCCCTAAAAATGAATAAAAGGTAGACATACGCTCGATATGAAGCTAGCTTTTTTAGCATGACCTGATGATAAGCAGTTTGCGCATTAAGCCTGGGAGACCTATGGTATACAAAATTGTAGAAACGCTTAATGAAGCAGCGGACCAGGTACATATGACTACTTGTTGGGCGAAGAGAAAGCTGCAAAAAAGAAAATTCAAGCTAATTATAAAGATGCAAAAAGCAAATTTTAACTGACTTAATGTTAGTTATTTAGATTGGAATAAAAAAATAATATGCGGATATCATTGGCTGTTGCGCATGCAAAAACTCACGAGGAAAACTCGCTGAAACAGTAGATAAGGGTAAATAACCAACTTAAAAGCAATATATAGCCAAATATTGACGATTATACCTGTAGATGAGCCTGTGGAGCAGAGAGTGAGGAAGGGCAAAATTGTTCCATGTAAGGAGAGA